CTGAAGTCACGCCTGGCCAGGGGCAAAGCGCGCGCGCCGCACGATGGTCGGTCGCATGGGCCACTAACAGAGGGAACAAAGACGGCTGGCCCTTAAATAGCGAGGCTGCGAACAGAAGAGCACTCTACGGCTGTGGACAGGGACTCTGTTGCCCTAGACGAGATACTGCTACCGAGAAGGAACCGACGAAAGAACACACGCTGCTGACGGACAGAGGACAAGCTGTCGGACACATATAAGACAGAGCTGACGTACAAGCAGAAGCAGTGACAGTAAACTATTATCTGCTATCCTTTCTATCTTCTCTTCCTAACACGCAACTGTGGGATGTAAGCAGTGTCGATGCAGGCACACCCAAGGTTATACTAGTAAGGATAACTTATATGACAAGCAAAACAGAATACGAAGACAGGACCCACCCGCAATGCAAGTGTCTATGCGCCAAACTCGAAGAAAAATAGGATTCTGATAATGATTATTGTTAGTTGTAGGAGTAAGATTGAGGGTATAGTAAGGGTTAAGATTAGGGCTACCATTGGGGTTTAAGTTAGGCTTAGCACATAACCTTTTTGGCCACAGTTACTATTTGGAAGGGGCACCATAATTCCCATGTCCTGTCTAGGGGACCATAGCGGTGTCAAGCATAGAAGCTACCAACAAGTCAGGCGTTCTTCCATTTGTGTGGAGTAACGTAAAATGCAAAAAACTGTTAAAGGAAGCAACTACTTACGGATAATGTGCATTGAGACAGGATCTTTGACGTGATTCCACATGACTTCCTGCTCTCCATTGACGGGGTTGAGGATGCATATCTGTGTAGCGGAATTGATGTAGGAGTGGCGAGTTCTGTACATAACCCCGTCCGGAGAATTCACATCAACCTAGAATAGACAGGCAAGCACATTTAATGAAAGGGCCCCTTGGGTCTTAAATATACTACTTATTTATTTATTTACATGTCACTGACTCACAAAAAACCCTCATGAAACTACGATTGCGGACAAAACAGCAGCACTGCAAAGAGACGTGGTCAAATGGTGTGTCGTCCTTATGATTAAATAGACCACTCAAACGGACTGCGCCGTTGCGTTAAATCCATTAGGGAACAAAATAGCCATGGGGTAGGTGTTGGATAGGGACTTTGCACCACGGAAGCAACTGCGCTCAGTCTCATAACCACTCGCTCAAAGGTCACTGACATAAAAGGAGGAGGAAGAGTGAAAGCGATCCCGAGCAATTCTTTCTTATGGCGATCTATCCAATTCCTCTGATGTGTCAGAACCTACCGCAGCTTACTTGACGTTTTGAGTCGGAAATTTGCTGGTTGACAGGTTACCCGTTAGCCTAACCGCTGGCTACTTGGTGCAACCATAAGTGGCGTATAGCGAAGGTTGGCTGCAAAATAAGCAGGCTCCTGGGTCTGGCGAATAAGCAGCCGCACACCAGCAGCGACTGCTGTTGAGAACAGAGTTCTGGCGTACTGAATGCCCAATAAAATGCCGCAAGTTGTAGCGACGGCACACTGACATGGCAACCGTGAACCGCTAGTAAATAGGGTTGCTTGCTACCGCTGCCTTGTGGTTAGGTTTTTGAACCAAAGTGCTAGAGGAGACAACCTCGAACAAAGAAGCCGAGCGGTTTTTGGGGACTTGCCTCCATTCCAGGTCTCCATGATCCCTTATGCACATGTCTACTACATTATTACGATGTAGAATACGGCGTCCGGGAGAACCGACGCGCTCCACAACCTTTGTCCATTGGTGCAGGCGAATAGTATGCGAACTTGACTATTTAACCAGGAACGAACTCTTGGTATTGGATACTGGAATATGCAAACACTTCTGGAACCTGATACCCAAAGTCTGACGGCGCGCAACCTTCACCAATACCATTGGGATGTTTGCTGCCTGTCCGAAGTCCAAATCCGCGACTCAGATACCCATGAAATAAAAATCCCAGGAATAAATTCCCACCCCACCCTCTATCACAATGGCGCACGCGACTCTTCTGGTAGACACAGTGTGACTATGCCCTCTTTGAGCAAGTTAATGGCATAAGTCGGTCCTCGAAAGAAGTTGGGGTAAGATTGTAAGGGCTCCTTTTCCACAATAGAAGTCGGGGTACAACAGCTACTTAAGGTGGCCGATGCGGCACCTCTCGCATTAACAAGACCCAAGATCATACATGTCACGGACTAGACAACAACAAAACGTCGCGTTAGCCGCTGCGCACAATCTCATAGTCTCAGTAACGAAAGCAGAATCAATGCAGCTGGCAATTAGCACTTAAGTCCTCCCTTTCACACCATAATGATACAGTAGCCAGAGCTTGAAAAGATGACAGTCGACGGGGTAACTCGGTCTTACTCAGGGTCACAGGCTGCAAGGTTTGTTTTTTTTAATGCGGTTTTCATGATAGGCATTCATGGGAGGTCCACATAAAAACACCTAATGTGAGCCCGGTACGTATAGAAGTAGCGAACTGGTCGTAAATAGCATGTGTAGGCAGGTATCTGCACCCACAAACAGTTCCCCGTCAATTCGGTTTTATCTGCAACATGATGACTATGGGAAAGAAAAAGAGGGAGGTAGATGCACAGTTCAAGTCTGTCGCATGATTAGCACATTCACGCAAAGTCACCCTCTGCGCCCACACCCCTATCCTCGATCAGAAGTAGATATCGCTGGGTGTTTGCGACGGACGGTTGTGAG